TCTATTCACTGCACTACGGGGACCGGCATTCTCAGGGACTAATGTTCCTAACAGGGCAGGACCCGGGATTTAGGCCAGTGGGAGGGGATTATCTGCACACTCTGCCTTCTGCTTCCCTCTCCCCACTCCAGCTTAGGGACAATGTGTGGCTTCAGCTGCCGGAAGCCTGGTCGGTCCAGCCACTTCCCTCGGCTACTCTTCCACCCTCTCTCGATTCTCTTCCAGCCTGCATGCCCTCCTTCTGTCACAGAGGGGTGTCTGCTGAGATGCAGTCCCTGCGCACCCCTCACAGTGCTGGGGGCTTCTGCAGCAGCAGTGCTTCTCCGGTGAGCATCCACTCGGCTCCATCACTGTGCACCACCACATGCTCATTTGGGGCCTCCAGGGACTCTGACCATTTCCTGGGCTCTCTCTCCCACGTAGGCAACTTATGCTACGTTGCCCCTGTTTCCTCCAGCAACTGGGATCGAGTCAGCAACATCCCCCACCTTTTAAAGATTAGAGACATCTCCAAAAGATCTCAGTGGCCTTTGCTCTCCATTACGACCTGTTTCCATGAATGTAAGGAAGGCAGTCTGTCCAAAATAAGTGACTGAATTCAAGTGTCTCTGAGCAGAAGGTAATCTGTGGAATGACTCCTTCTTGTCCTCAGAAGCCTCCTTCCTGGGAGGTGGAAGTGGCCCCCTCTAAGGGTGCTACAGACCCCACCTCCCTCCTTCCCCCCTTACCAGGAGGCAGAGGCAGTAATCCCCATACTCATGGAGTGCTCTTCCAAAAGCGTCTCCTTTTCTTCCACAAGCGTCTCACCACTAGCGTTCATCAGGATCAAACACATTTCCTGTCTACTAAGTACCTTAAGGTCTCAATCCATTTCTCCACCACACCTCCCACCCTCCGCCATCCCAAGCGGACCACACAGACGGGGCCGTGCCTGGACCTGGGAGCTGACAGAGGACTTAAGGAGGAGAGGGGCTTTGAAGGTGCCATGTTGCTAAGTCTTAAGAAATAAGGAAAGATCTGCTCTGTTCAAAAACAATTCAAGGAAGGCAAGCACAAGGAAAAACTACTTCTAGCCCTGGTTCTGTTCTTGTTCACACTGGGTGCTATCAACAGAGATCTGAGCTGGGGAGACTAGAGCTGAGGGTGGTGGCCCGGTTCTGGACTAGGGGAGCGAGGAGTGTGAGGGGAGGTGGTGGTGGCTGATGGCGAGAACATGGATCCAAGCCCCTTGGCAACATTGAAAACATGGAGTCCCTTCTCTTCCTGGCCCCCCATGCTATCCTCCAGACAGCCACGGCAAGCTGCCGGAGTCCCTGTAATATCAACTCAACAATGCATGTTCTACAACTACAGCTACAGCTACCGGTACATCTACTACAGTGCATGCATTTAGTTCAGTCCCACAGATACAAACAATCTAAGAACAGGCAGGGGAGGTGTGAAATGTTTTACTGGACAACAGGTGTTTTGGAGTCGTAACTAATAATAATAATAGGAAAAAAATTGAAAACGAAAGTGTACAAAAAAAAAAGAGAGAGAGACATTTCTCGAGAGTTGGATATGAGTTTGTTTCTTGAACTGTTTCATCTGAACAAGCAAAAACATGCAAACCAGCTGGTACTAACAGGAAGCTGGACACTGAGAGAGGATTAATAGGTGTGGACAAACCTTCCCGCTGAGCGTGTTCAGAAGAGTGTTTGAGAGGAGGTGTGCAGATCCTAGTGTAAGAGAGGCGGAAAGTATGCCTCAGAGACACTCTCACCGCAGCCCCAACCAAGCAAGAGAAAAGACAACAGAAACGTAACTGCTCACATTCACCGCCACCGTCAGGGAGCTCGTGTTACTAGACGGGGGTAAACTGGCAAGTATAAAGTACAGTAAGGGGTCCCGCCTGGGGCTGGAGGTGGGGCTGGGAGGTGGCAGGGGCTCCGAAGCTCTCAGATGGCTACACCAACCCTCCCACGGTGCCACCCGGCAGGATTGCCGCCTGCAGATCCAGACCACTCCCCTCCCCTAGAGGGACAGGCAGGGGCAGGCATCTGCCGAGCTGGAGTGCGGTTTAGGGGAGACGTGATGGGGCTAACTGGAGCTGAATGAATACGATCAAAATAAACAAACATCTCGACTGAGCACAAGAAAAGATGGCATTTCAAACTACCAGGTGAAGGTGAACGAAAAGTGACCACTGATAGTGAAGCTCTCTAGGGTGGGGGTGGGGGGGGTCTGAGCCCTGGTGTCGAATGGATCAGGAGAAGGTGAGTGCAACACGCAAGGCTCATCCCTGCCCCGGTCAACCCCGTACCCTGACAGCAGAACCCTGACACGAACGTGCTGCCAACCTGAGAAGAACCGAGGCTGCTTCCCACCCCAGCCTTCAGCAGGTCCTTCCCACCTCAGGAGGCGCTTCCAATAAACACTAATGGAAGGGAAATGAAACAAATGGAGCTAGGCAAACGTGAAAGACAAAACGGGCCTTCCAGAGGCTGCCAGACCCCTCAACCAAGCCTAAGAGCCTTTGGGGCAAAGGCTATCCCGTGTCTCTTGCTTTTTAGGAATCAGCTGCTGGGTTTGTCACAAGCACCAAGCACGAGGCAGGTACTCAGCAGACCCCGTGCACCAAGCATCTGAGCATTTCCCTTTGCAGGAATGAAGCCGAGCTCCGGGACCTCCAGCAGTGAGGCTGCCAGGGAGGGTCCTTGTCCCCTGGGGAGGGCCTGGGCTGGGTGGGGCAGGGTGGTGGGGTCGGTGGCAGCAGGACTAGGTAGCCAGATCTCAGTGACCCTTACCACAAGGGCAGCTGGACTGATGCACCAATTCAATTCATGGCCCTCTCACATGGCAAAGAGCCCTTGCCACAGCTCGGGCACTATAACAGGTGGAGACCTGGTCAACCTGCCTGGCTCAGGAACCTAGAGGAAGGGTCAAGACCGTATAGGCCCAGACAGATTAAAAGAAAGGCACTGTTGTCCATTCCCTCCTTGCCAAGGGTACAAAGCTGGGAGCTGTGGGGACCAGGGCACTCTGCACGGGGCAGGCGTCCTCCAGCTGGTTTGACTATGGTGGTCATGGTCTACTCACTGCTTTGAATCGATAAAGGAGTGGATGGGGTAGGGACTGCTTATAGTTGCAAGCTGGCTTCCTCACAATCCTGTGCCCTAGGGTGGGACCCCAGCAGTAGGGGGGACCCTTCCCCCTCCCCAGCACTAACCTAGACTAGTGAGGGCAAGTAGTTGAGAAAACCTCCTTAATACTGTTCACTAACAGTGCAGCGATGAGCATGGCTGACCTATAATGACCTGAGGGAGGCGGAGCCTCCAATGGAGATGGCTACAAATAAAACACCACTGAGCCAGAAACGAAAAAGTGTGGTTGAAGATGGGACTGACCTTTGGCGGTTAGGAGTTAGATGGGGGTGGGGTGGGGGTGGGGTCTCCCACCTGACTCTGGGGTCCAGGAAAAGGTGGGATGGCAGGAGGGGGCACAGACACTGGGGAGACCATTCTCAGACTCACAAAGAACCCCATGCTGTCCTTTAAACTTGCCATGAAGTCAAGGAGAACCGGGGTGGGGTGGGAGAGAGGCAGGGTTAATTTCGGGTTAAAGTTTAGTTTCATAATCCAAATTATCAAAAGAAAAGATACTGAACAGAAAAAACACCAATCAACAACACTCAACAAATCTCAGGACTTTTCTTTGTGTCTTCCCACCACCCTGACCCCTCCCCAGGCATAGGACCAAGGCTTATTGAGGATTCTCAAAAAAAAAAAAAAAAAAAAATAAGCACTCAGGTTAAAAAACTAAACAGAATCAGGAGACAGGAGGCAGCAGTGCCCACCCCCGCCCCTACAAGGGGCACAGGCCAGAGGGCAGGGAGGGTAACGTGGGAGACCAGAGGGGAGCCGAGAAGAGGGATCAACTCATTGTACCCTCCGGTCAGGCTGCCCCCTCTGCTCTCTGGCAAACTGCCTCTTACTGAGCCCCTGAGAACTGCCTGGCCCCTCCAAATAACCTCCAGTGGCGGGTTCAGGGAGGTGGATCCTTTGTAGCTCCGAGGCTGTGCCAGTTTGCATGGAACGGATTCGTCCTGATGTTTCCTAACGGGCCTCACTGTGCCAAGTTGGGCTTGGGTTTTTGGCTTTAACCACTAGGCCTTTGATGCCCCATTTCCTGGTACCCATACCAGCAACGATTTCCCCACCCTCCTCCAGCTCACGACACTAAGCTCTTCCCTGGGTGCCCCAGTGCCTGTGGGGGTGGGGGAGCGAGCCAGCCACAGAAAGGCCAGCCTCAGAGGCAGAGGGCATTCGGGGAGAGACTAAACACCTCTCCTGGGCCTGCGTCCTAGACATGTCCTGGTTCAGCCAGACCCCACAGTGCCCCGAGAAGGTCCGGATCGCCAAGTTTGGATGTGGTAGCCTAGAATCAGGCAACCACGTATGACAGGAAACCTTAGTTCCCTGAGTGCCTGCTGGCCAGGGACACTGAGCTATCTGGTGTGAGTCCTGGAGAGCAAGAGGGACTGAGAGGGGGGAGCCTCATTCATTGAGATCAAAGATTTAGCCAGATGTCTCCCCACCTGCCAGGGGCAGGATGCCCTGGGGGCGGCTGGCTGCTCCCAGTCCCAACCTGTGGGATGGGCTCTGGGCTTCCCTCTTACAACCTCAAATCACTGTAACTGGGGCAGAGGTCAGAGGCCCAAGGAAGGGGCTTATGAACCAGGACAAGCCAAGGAGAGGAGGTCACCAGGCACCCCGAAGCCAGTTATCTGGCAGAGGGGAGACCCTGAGTCAAAAAGAAATTCCGTTTTCTTTTTAAAATGAAAGAACCGTCTGCCTTTGGTTTGCAGCCCCATGACTAACTCCACTAGGAGCTGCCCTTGGTGCCCGGGGCTGTGGTGAGAGAAGTGCTGGACAGACGCAGCCACACAGATCCGACAGGGCCTTTACCTTCCCCTGCACTGGGGCATGCCTGGGAGCCGCCTGGCCCGTACACCTCCCTACCTGATCCTCTGGCTGCTGCCACTGCCGCCGCCGCCACTGGTCCGTAGGCTGCTGCTGGGAAGCCTGGTGGGAGAGAGAGGAGCTGGAGTCAAAGAGCCATCCTCCAGAGGCCCGGCCTTTGCCAGACCTGTCTGCCAGGCAGCCCTTGACCCGCCACATAAAAAGACAAGAGCAGGAAGGGGGTTTCACAGGTCAGTTTTGAGGAGGGACGCACAGCAGTGGCTCTCAGGCTTCCAGAAGGCACAGCGTCCTCAGGTGTGCTGCACGCTGACACCTGGCTCACCCCACACACCGGGTCTAAAAGGCACACGCAAGAAACTCAAGACTGCAGGAGGCATTTTTTTTTGTCCTGGAGAATGGGGGGCCTGCTCCCCGCTGATCCTGTGCTGACACATGAAGACTCCCTGGGGGCTGGTCATGGCAGGGTCAACTGCAGAGTGCTCAGGGGTCTCAGCTGAGTGGTCAGGACTGGAGCCCAGGCATGGAGCTTGTGAGATGGCTTCATGACAAGGACGGGCACCCTGACCAAGAGGTGACTCAACTCCAGCTGTCCTCCACAGGTCCCAGAGGTTTGCTTGGCCATCTGGATGCCAGACTTCGCCAGGACTTCATGTCAGAGCCCTAGACTTAAGAATGCAGTCTTTTGGGGTCCTGGCTCAAGGTGTATACATAAAGCCAGCTATGGGGGGGGGGGAATGAGCATTTGTGTGGGGCATGCCTTGTGACTTTGTTCTCTTTTCTGGACCCCACAGTCCAAATGAAGCCAGTTGGAGGCTCTCCTCAAGATCCCTGATGTCCTGCCTGACACGGGCTGTATTGTCAGAGCAGCACCAGGCAGCAGGCTGTCCCAGCGATGGGATTGAGTCAGCATAAGGAATGACTGGGCCCCAAGGGACTGCAGAGGCCAGGTGGAGGGAAGGTGACCAGCCCTTCCCCAGGCTTCCAGTGCTCCCAGACACATGCCCACGGAGACAAGCACCCTCTGCTGTCCTGGCTGATGCCTGGAGGGAGGCCTCAGCCCAAGACCTCTCCTGATGACTGTGTCTTTAAACGATATGCCAGAGCCAGCTGCAAATGCAACAAACAGCCCCCAACAGAGCTGCCCAACTTCAGCCATTGAGCCTTTCAAATAAGGAGTTTCTACAGGACAAGAAGGGGAAGGACACAAAGCATTAGGGCAAGAAGCTGAGGAGAAAAGAAAGGAGACAGACATACAGACAGTGACACACAGCGAGATCCCCAGGACCCAAACAGAGCGAACTAGAAGCCCTCTAAACTCTAAGACTATCGTCCTAGCTACACCGACTACTAGGGAGAAAGAAGTTCAAAAGGGAACAGGCTATTCTAAAAAGGTCAGGCTAAGCTACTCAAAAATGCCAATTAAAAGAGACATACTTGCATTTAAATATGGTAATAGGGCTGTTGAAGGGGGGGAAAAAAGAAAGATTCAGGTGAAATAAATGTACAGGTTGTCCCCAGCTGGGGGACAGTGTCTCCCCTGCCTCCCATGATGTCACTCCCTTCCCTCAAAGGAGACAGTAGTGAGTCCTGAGGTAAATCAGAGGAGGGAACCCCATCAACAAGGCCTTGCCCCATTTCTTCCAGGCAGGCTCTAGGTCTCTGAAGATGTGGGTGCAGGCTGAACCAGCTGAAGAAAATAAGTTAGTCCAGTTATTTCTGACCGTCCCAGCCCTCAGGACACCTCCCTGCAGCAGTCACAAAGCTCAGGGGATATTGGAAGGAGGAGGGAAGCGGTGGGGGAAGGAAGACCAAGTTATTCTTTTACCTTCTCTTACCAGGTACTTAAAACAGCTTTCCTTGGAAGCATGAAAAGGTGGTGATGATGGGGAAGAAGGTGATAGAACTGGGGGAGGGGAGTTTAGTCAATAAAAAGACTCTTGTTAACAAAAGGTCTATTTTCTGGAGTTGAGTGCATTTTGGACAAAAAGTCTGAGAGAAAGGAGAAGGAAGGTGGGGGGATATCCAAGAAAGGAAATCCATTATCCTTAATCTCTGATAAAGGCTTCTGCAGGAGACTGGGCATCAGACGCTGCCGAAGGCTGGAACTTAATCTCAACCATCACAGAGGAGTGTAAGCCGGAGCGATGAGCGTGAGGGGCGGGGCTGGAGGATGACCACCACCCACCTGCCCCTCACAAAGGGGCTCTGGCCACCAGCTCTTGCAGCAGAAGCCACCCCCACCCTGAATCTGTGCCTTGTCCTCTGAGACACCACGGCCACTGCCCACGATGACCACCGGCCTCCTCCCAGGTGTTTCTGGCTCACTGGACATCTATAGTGGAAGTACTTTACCAGACCGACCTCTGACCTCCTTTGGGCCGTTCCCCAGGAACCCTCACACCCCAGGCCTTCCACGTCACCCGGGTATGCATTCTTTGTGATATGGCAGGTAGGCCCTTAGGCTCGAGTTCCCAGGCCAGCAGGGAGCTTGGGAAGGGTTGTATGTGTCTAAGGGTGTGAGTGGCATTGTCCCAACTGGAGGTCCCTGGAGACCAAAGAATCTGGACACTGGCTTAAAGTTGCCTTGTCTTCAGAGAGACCCTTCCTCAGGATGGGAGGAGGGGCCTGATGTAGATGGAAATCACCCCTCCCAGGGCCGCGTGAGGGGAGCTGGGGTAGGGACACACATAGTCCATAGGGAGTTGACTGATAACCCAAAGGTGGCACCTCTCTGGCAGTTCGAGTCCAGAGCAATTCCAGAGGAGAAAGAATGGCAATCTCCTCTCGTGCAGTTTACAGCCTCGGAAAATCCACTGGAGGGTCAGCTATGAGTGGTTTCTGAGTTTTGTCTTGAGATAGGCCCTTTGGCAGGATGACAGAAGGTGCCTGAGAGAGGTGGAAATTGTCCTTCACAGGGCTGGGCCCCAAACCCTGCCAACTGAATCAGGTGGAGCCGAGGTCTCTGTATCTTCAGAACCAAGTAAAGCACCTGCCCGAGTGGATTCTGACTCAGGGCGACTATCTGGGGTAGGTTTGTGCTCCAGAGGGACTGGAATTGGATTTCCTATCTTCTGAGGTGCCTCAGGGTGGATCTGAACTGCGGACCTTCCAGTCAACAGTTGAGCACCTAGTGGTCTGTGCCACCGAGGAATGCTGGTTCATGGTGTGGGCAGAGTTTGACTTAGTGGAACCTCTGAAGGGTCTTCTCTGTCTGTAGCAAGCACCGAAGAGGCAGTGCCCCTGTCCTGTCTGCTGTGGACAATGAGATGATGAGGCTTTACTCCTCCCTCCTGGCAAGAAGATGGGAACTGCACCGAGTGCGGCTCTGGCTCAGCCACTACTTGCTTCAGTGGCCTTGGATGAGTCAGGGCCCCTCTGCACCTCTCACAAAATGAGGAGAATTCTGAGGTCCCTGTGGCTCCACGGGCTGGGGTTTGGTGGGGATCTCTGTAACATGCATGACCACACAGAATGGCCTGGAGGAGGGACCATTTCCCCCACACTGTGTCTGCCTCAAGCACTCCCATCACGCCCTGCGTCTCCCCCACGAGCCATTTCTATGGATGGCTCTGACAACTTGGCTAAACCCAGTGTTGCGCTACTGAATCCAAACACTACAAAACAGGCAGCCAAAAGAAGAAGCTGTCACCCAGAATTCAGGAAACGCATCCTCAGTGAGTTTGGAACCACGACCATCTGCCATCCTGGCTGGCCCAGCACCCTCCCCGCTTCCTGGGCAGGCCTGCCTGGTGGGAGAGGCCTAGATGTTTTAAAGGAAATCGTAGGGTTGACTTCTGTGCAAAGAATGAGGGTTAGGAGGAAGGTGGCAAAGTCGGATGATGCATTCTGGGTACCAGAAGGACTCAGGGGTACAGATCTGAAAAAGTGTTGCCACTGACTTGATCTTGACTCATAGTAGCTTTAGAGAATAGAGCAGAAGTGCCCCACAGAGTCTCCAAGGTTGTAAATCTTTACAGAGGTTCAACCGCCACATCTTTCTCCTGCTGTGTGGCTGGTGGACTCTAACCACCGATCTTCCAGCTAGCAGCCAAGCACTTAACCACTGTGTCACCAAAGGGCCTAATGAGTGAGGAAAAACTGATAGTCAAAGGGACGCATTCACATGATTGAATGGTAAAATGCTGTGTTGAAGGCAGCAGATGTACATCTTTTTCAAAACAAACCAAACCAAACTAGAGTTTCTGCCATTCAGAACAGGCAGGGTATTTAGTTATTTCTACCTTTGCAGGAGCAAGTATGACATTTCCTGAAGATGAGGAGAGGGTGGAATTAATGTAGGGAGTTGGGAGGACTAAGGATGTGGGGGCTGGAAGCTCTTTGGAAAATGACAGTCATTTGGAGTCTGGCAGATGGCCCCCGTTGGGGAAGGCAGAGGGGTCAGATGTGAAGGCCAAGCTGCCTCTGGGAGGAAGCCTGATCTCTGGATCTTTCCATTGCCTTGGGAAAGGGGGTGTGAGGGCTCAAGGGTGCTTTCATCTATAGCAAAGACATGGCAGCAAGCAGCCCAGGAGGATTTTTAGTGCAAGTGCTATACAGATTAGCTTTTTAAAAGAAGTAACTCTTTAAACATTTTCATAAGACTAAAGGGATGGTACATTGCCTTTTGTGAGGCACTAACTTTTGTGAGGATATATAAAGTTTTGTTGCCAGAGAATCTGTGTTTGGATGAAAGGTTATTAGAAGCACAAAATCAGAAATCAGGGAACATCCATTAGAAAGAAGAAAATTCTAAGAAGCAAGTCCAGACCCCACGTTGGGAGCAAGAACGACGATGGTTGATTCCTTTTAATAGCAAAGCACTCTGAGAACAGTCACCAAGTCCCCAGTGGCCAGGAGTGTGTGAGCCTGTGACTTCACACCACCTTGGGGTACTCTGCAGCTTCTGATTTTGATTCTCTGTTTAAGAAATGTACTTAGCTAGGGAGAGGGGCAGGGGGTCGACACTCAGCATCCTGCTTTTGTTCACTTACAGCTGCTCCAGCTCATAGTCAACATTCCCCAGGAATCAACACTCCTAACATATCAGGCCACTAACCAGAAAGTCAGTAGTTTGAATACACCTGATGCTCAGGGGGAGAAAA